CATCAGGGGCTGGTCGCCCGTGTGTGAAGCTCCCAGACACGGTCGCGCAGGCCATTCAAGCTCCGCGTGTTGCCACAAATATATTTTCAAATATTTTTTCTATGCATTTCCAATGCGGTTTTATTTGTTTCTTTTATCGTATATGATGCATATTTGTGACCTTTACAATATGTATACAGTAGAATGTTCATAATTTTCCATGAAACTGTGATACATGTGTCAGTAATGTGTCCACAATAAATGTTTATTGTCACAATATTACGTGGTAAAAAGTCACTAAAATTACAATATGTACAGTTTCACATACTATTTACACAGTAACACACTGTATTACACACTCAGTACTTTGGAGGTGCGTAATAGTCAACGAAGTAGTCCATGGTACACACAGTGCGACTTTGCTCTCCTTGCACCAGCTACAGATAGATTTTCGTTTCCTGTTTCATCGTTCTGTGTGCTTGCAAATAACGCACTCACGTGCACCCTTGGCTTTAGTACTTGTAGGTGATATGTAGCCAAGCTTGTAAAGCATAAAGTAGTATTGAAACGATTATAGGAAAAGCTCAATTTGTAAGGTAGTCTTGAAAAGATCGCTTTGTAAGGTCCCACACAGGAAGCGATTCAGCTAGCCTCAAAGAGTGTCCATCAGTCAGGAAGAGATTCAGGTATTCTTGAAAATATCAATGAACACCACCACCATGGAAGCCGCTAACACTGTTCATCTATGCTACTTGTATCGGATGCATCATCACTGAACGCAGAAAACGATTCATCTATGTATCATCTATATACATTAGAGATGGCAAGGGTGGGGCTCAGAGCTACACCTGGATACGCTCGCTGTATCATCCTCATAGGTGCTGTATCACTGGCATCCGACCGTTGTGTTAAGACCTTATTGCGCCAAGCTTCACCAATGTTATGACCCTTATGTTCTTCAAACAATAGGGTCTGAATTGCACCGACTGAGCACAGTCTTTCAATACCGTGTGGGACAGGTGTTTGAGAGCCAGAGGCACGTGTGCCACAAATGGTTGCTCACGCAGTACTAACCCAGCCAGCAGCCCTTGTCTTTCATATTCGTTATAGCAAAAGGTTCGTTCAGTGTTTGTTGGGTAGGCTGCTCCATTATGACAATCTTTCTTTGTTTCAAATGCGTTCCATTTGTTTTGTATTTGTCACTTACGTCTCAATAATGGAGCAGCCTACCCGATAAACACTGAACGAACCTTTATGACATTTGTCCATTTTTCAAATTATTTCAACAGTTCTTTTATTTTTCGTTTTTTTTTTTTTTTTTATTAAGAAACATGGAGCAGCCGACCTGTAGACCACCGAACGAACCTTTTTGACATTTGTACTGGTTTTCAAAATTCTTCATTTTTTTATTATTTACGTTTTTTGTATGTAAGAAACATGGAGCAGCCTACCTGCCGACCACCGAACGAACCTTTTTGACATTTGTTGTACATCAGACATTTTATTTCTTTTTCCCTACAAATACGTCAATGCTTTGCAACATCTCAGCAGTCACCCTTTTATATCCCAGCATCATTAGCATCTTTAAACAAGAACAACATAAGTTATGTGCATCGTCGGAGGCGTCTAAGAATGTGCAAGAAGCAGCGCGACCCCACCATGTGGTGTTGACGTTACTCAAACCAGCGTTCGTCATACGGGACGATTTGACGCCGATCGGGCCGTTCGTTACCCAAAATATTCGTCTTTTGGGGCAATCGTTATGCGAGGTACCACTGTATATATATATATATATATATATATATATTGAATATGACCGCATATTCTGTATTTATTATTTTCTGGTTTAGGGCTTCTATCCCTCTAACTATTTTCTTAGCATCAGGGCTTAATTGGAATAGGAGTTCTCCAAAACTCATTTTCGTACTTTTAAGGTGAAGAAAAGAAGTGATTTACTATAGAGTGTATTAAACTTATTTGTATAATTTGCACGACGTTTCGAACCTCCATGGTTCATTCTCAAGTGAACAATCTTACAATACTAGTTGATTTTATACCCGCATTAGGTCAGGTGATAATACAATGAAGGTGAAAACATGGGGGGATACATAAGGGATAAACATAGGGGCTGCAGAAGGCTTATTGGCCCATACGAGGCATCTCCTATCTAAACACAAAGATTAATCCAGTGTAATTGGCCTGTTATGTTGGACATTGTCTTCTGTGTTGGCATCGATATGTTCTTGTCTTGTCCTTACTCTCATGGTGGGTAGAGTAAATAGTTCCGTGATTTGGGTGTTCATGGTAGGTCGCTCTATTCTTATGGCGACCTACCATGAACACCCAAATCACGGAACTATTTACTCTACCCACCATGAGAGTAAGGACAAGACAAGAACATATCGATGCCAACACAGAAGACAATGTCCAACATAACAGGCCAATTACACTGGATTAATCTTTGTGTTTAGATAGGAATGCCTCGTATGGGCCAATAAGCCTTCTGCAGCCCCTATGTTTATCCCTTATGTATCCCCCCATGTTTTCACCTTCATTGTATTATCACCTGACCTAATGCGGGTATAAAATCAACTAGTATTGTAAGATCTGTTCACTTGAGAATGAACCATGGAGGTTCGAAACGTCGTGCAAATTATACAAATAAGTGTAATACACTCTATAGTAAATCACTTCTTTTCTTCACCTTAAAAGTACGAAAATGAGTTTTGGAGAACTCCTATTTCAATTAAGCCCTGATGCTAAGAAAATAGTTAGAGGGATAGAGGCCCTAAACCAGAAAATAATAAATACAGAATATGCGGTCATATTCAATGAAACATGTTTGAAAGAAAACCTGCTGCCAGTATACACCAAAATAAATATAAATATATATATATATATATATATATATATATATATATATATATATATATATATATATATATATATATATATATATATATATATATATATATATATATATGAAGCACTGCCCTAATTCTTTTTAGTTCATTGTGCCACTCCAGTAAATAATGTTTTATAATATTCTCAAATGTATTTCTCTTTCCAAGCATTTTAAAATGTGATTCACTAATGTTAATATATATATATATATATAAATATATATATATATATAATATATATATATATATATATATATATATATATATATATATATATATTAAATATGACCGAAAAAGTAAGATTAATAATTCTAACACGAATTTTCTCAATCTTTCGTACATTATGCTTCACTGTTGGAGGTAAATCGAAAATCAATTCTCCAAAATTCATTTTCATTTCTAGTCTGACGCGACACGGGCGCGTTTCGTAAAACTTATTACATTTTCAAAGACTTCACAAATACACAACTGATTAGAACTTGCGTTTCCCTGATTTTATATCTACATTTGAGTGAGGTGGGAAGGGTGATGTGGCATTACATTTGAGTGAGGTGGGAAGGATGATGTGGCATTAACACAAGACAGAACACTAGAGGATATTAATAGGGTATTAAAAGTATCAACACAAGACAGAACAGAAACAATGGGTATTGAATAGAAGTGTTTGTAGAAAGCCTATTGGTCCAGAATGGAAGCAAGTCGACGAAGAACTCTGTAGGGTAAGGCAGGTTCTAGTCAATAACGGCTTCTCCAATGGTTTCATCGAAGACATCATAAGAAGGAAAGTGAAAAGCCATGCAACCTCCGAAGAGACAACTAACACAACACCTATACCCCCTATTAGACTATTTTACAGGAACTTCTTTTCCACAGCTCATAAAACAGAGGAAAGGGTCCTGAAAGATATTGTTAATAGAAACGTTATCCCTACAGACAAAAATCAGAGGATACAACTGACGATTTACTATAAAACCAGAAAAACGGCCAGCCTACTCATGAGAAACTCTCCAGACACGAAACAGAACGCTTTAAAAGAGACTAACGTCGTCTATGCCTTCAAATGCCCACTTGGGGACTGTAAGCTCCAAAAAACCCAGTATATAGGCAAGACAACAACATCTCTTTCTAGGCGTTTAACGATGCATAAACAACAGGGCTCCATTAAGGAACATATAATCTCTTCCCATAACCAAACCATCGCCAGAGAAATCCTAGTAAACAACACAGAAATCATCGATAGATACAGCGATAGCAGGCGGCTTGACGTTTGCGAGGCACTACACATCAAGAAGTCAACACCAGCAATCAACAGCCAATTATTGCGCAACTATATTCTACCCACCTCAAGACTCCGCTCCAATATAGAAGCATCAAGAAATATGGACCAATAGGCTTTCTACAAACACTTCTATTCAATACCCATTGTTTCTGTTCTGTCTTGTGTTGATACTTTTAATACCCTATTAATATCCTCTAGTGTTCTGTCTTGTGTTAATGCCACATCATCCTTCCCACCTCACTCAAATGTAATGCCACATCACCCTTCCCACCTCACTCAAATGTAGATATAAAATCAGGGAAACGCAAGTTCTAATCAGTTGTGTATTTGTGAAGTCTTTGAAAATGTAATAAGTTTTACGAAACGCGCCCGTGTCGCGTCAGACTAGAAATAAAAATGAATTTTGGAGAATTGATTTTCGATTTACCTCCAACAGTGAAGCATAATGTACGAAAGATTGAGAAAATTCGTGTTAGAATTATTAATCTTACTTTTTCGGTCATATTTAATAATATATGTCTACAGGAAAGACTGCTACCAAAATATACTAATATATATATATATATATATATATATATATATATATATATATATATATATATATATATATATATATATATATATATATATATATATATATATTTATATATATATATATTAACATTAGTGAATCACATTTTAAAATGCTTGGAAAGAGAAATACATTTGAGAATATTATAAAACATTATTTACTGGAGTGGCACAATGAACTAAAAAGAATTAGGGCAGTGCTTCACAAGCTACACAAAGTAGTGAATAACTTAATACAACATAATAGAGCAACTTATGGCATAAATTACCTTTAGAGCACGACGGAGGTAGTACCTTGCTGAGTTTGCCTGCTCTCCTCCTTGCAAGTAATGAGTCCAACCCAGCAGGTACCATGTGTCTACGATCTGTAAACATTACACTAATTTAATGCTACCCATTCAATAGAAATTAAAATTTAGTGTACATTAAATGCCACGTGTTTAAATTTAATATATTTGGTACCTAATGTTATGATCCCAGGTAGCCTGAAAAATGAGTCTACCTGCCTGACAGTTATTCCACCTACTAGACCCAATTATGAGGTCAGAGGAAGTATAGATATGTGAATATATATTAAATACATGACAAGTGTTAATGAATAGTTTAAAAGCATGAGCAGAGGATGAACATGTAAATAAGTGACAGGATGAACATGTAAATAAGTGACATGATATGAGATGTTGATACTTTGCTGACAAAGTGAGAGGCTTGCTGTGGACGTCTTGACCTCACTTGAGCAGCAGAGGTTGTGAGAGGGGGGGGGGGGTTGTACTGTGTTTGTGCTCCTGGCAGCAAAGGAGGAACCCCTAGTTGTGTGCTCCTTCAAGAGGAGGGAACCAGTCAGGCGTTTATGTATGAAGCCTGAGAACGACTTAAAGTGCTCAAGTCAGGACTAGAAGAAGCTTTGTGAGGCAGTCCTACAGCGATTTTGTGGGCGACCTGTGAGCGCCATTGTTGAGGATCAGGACCTGAACGTCCTCAAATCAGATAAATTCTGTGGTAAGCCTATTTAACCAGTTGTTAGTGATTGCCTGTGTTTGATCATGTGCCCAGCGATCATGGCAAGTGTTTATGAATATAGTAGATATATTTATTAAGGCAGTAAGCTGAAATAAGAGAGTAGGGACAGGGGAACCAGCTGAAGGGGGCGGCGACGTGTCCACCCTCGCCGAATGTCAGTGGGTGACTGAGGGAGGAGAGCTCCTGACGGCGGCGGCTGCCAGCAACGTCGAGTATGGACTCTCAGAGATGGGGGAGGACCGTCGCGACGTGTTAAAGTTTAAAGAGGTGTCAGATGGAGGATTTATATTTTCTGTGAATACATTTAATTATGTTTTAGTAGGGAAACATTTTTATTGGCATGGCAGTGGAATTGCAGGTTTGTTTGGGGAGGAGTTGATGGAAGAACGTTGAGTCCAGGGAAGAAGCTAATGGAGGAAACTTCATGGCTGGAAAAGTGAATGCTGAACTCTGTGGGAAAGCAGAGCCCCTGAGTGAGGAGCTGACCTCAAACTGTGTAAAGGAGCAGTGAAGAGGAGTTTCACATGTCTGTGGGACCAGTGGTGAAGCATCACTTGTGTTTGATGAGAACTTCATTGTGTAGCAGTTTGGGAGAACTGCAGAAGAGCCTTGTTGACTATTTTGGAGAGCCTAGAGATATACATGGTAGTGAGCCTTTAGGAGCAGAACAGAGGTTCATGGTGATCACACATAATGTATAAGGGAAGTGCTTGAATGCTTATTGGCATGTAAGACGCAGTGTAAAGTGAGAGATTGATTTCTTTTTGTGTTGGGAATATTTATGCAGATGTTTGTGGTGTTTCAGCCATAGGCTGAGGTTTATATACTTTGAGAGCTGATTGTACAATAGTGTTGTGACGATATTACAATCCTCACTTAGTGAGGACTGCACGCACGACTTGTGATCCTGTGGTCCTGGGTTCGATCCTAGGCACAGGCGAGAAACAATGGGCAGAGTTTCTTTCACCCTATGCCCCTGTTACCTAGCAGTAAAATAGGTACCTGGGTGTTAGTCAGCTGTCACGGGCTGCTTCCTGGGGTATGTGTGTGTATGTATGTGAAAAAAAAGCCGATTGACAGTTGAGAGGCGGGCCGAAAGAGCCAGAGCTCAACCCCAGCAAGCACAACTAGGTAAATACATGACATCCTCCCTTACTGACATAACTACCTCTCTTACAAACACGACCGTCCCCTCTTACTGACATGACCAACGTTCTTGCTGACGTGACCGTCCCTCTTATTGTCATGATAACCCCTCTTATTAACATGATAGCTTCTCTTGCTTTCATGAGAAGATAGTTCATAACTCTTGCATATAATCGAGATAATGGCTAAACACACTGAAGTGTATTGCTATAAGTAATAACTGTGTTTAAGGAAGCCTAGCATTAACAAGTCACTCTTTTAACCCATGTTAGTACCTCACAGTGATTAAATGTCAACAATATCTCTCAAAAAAATTATTCTCTTCAGCGGCATGCATCATGATGACAAATTAATGGAGAAGAATTACAAAATAGTTGTATATCAATATATTATCATCTATGTTAAATTATATAAACAACTATAAAGTTATTTTTTGGTAATATTTTGTGGTGGGTTGACCAAGGGCCCCCAGAATACTAACAAAGTTTGGACACCAAGGGGTACTAACGTAGGGTTAAAGATGATAGTGCCCACCAAACCATCCATTATTTTTCATGCACAATGTGAAACTTAAATACAGTACTGTACAGTATACAGTATTCAAATAAAAACAAGATATATTTCACCCTTTCTCTCTCGTTTCATTATAATCATCATTTTATCCTTACTTCATCGTTTTCTTCTGTTAGTCCTTCAAGAACGTCTACAGCATGCTTATAATCCTCTACTTCTATGAGGATTCTCGCCGCGCTGAGGCGTGTTGCATATGACAGAGGGCACACCTCTACCGGGTCAAAAGTACCTGCTGCTGCCTTCCCTTCATCCACTTCTTTATATTTTGGTAGCCATATTTCAATTGATTTGGTTATGTATGTCTTTGCTTCTTGCACTTCTTGTTTCACCAAGAGAAAACTAGCCTGTTTTGCCAAATAAATTAAATGTTAAGTGACATTAATATAATGTATCTGTATAACTTACAAACTTTAACAGCCTAAGAAATATAACAATTTGTTATTTCAAAAGTAGTTAAATATACTTATCTCTATTGTTACATAAACTGAAATAAATAGAGCAAAGTAATTGGAGTTTGGACGCTAGATAAGTTGTGGGTATGAAAATCCGATGTTAACTAAAATATGGTGTCCGGAAATAATGTGAAAGTGCAAAGTGTCTATAAACCCCAATACCAGTATCGAGACACCAAGACATACTGTACCACCCAGTTCAAAGCAATTCTGCTAGTACTATATAAACATGTATATAATGGTCTCTAAGTTTAAAAAGTATTAGGCGACTCACTCACATACTTGGTACCAAGCTGAAAACTTCTAAACTCTGTCTGTAAAGATCAATAATATTTTTTAAAGGTTAAGTGTCTATCATTTGAAAATGACAGGAACAGTTCAAGGGATGCTTTTGAATGCTCTTGAATTTGGCCCCCACAGCCCCTTCCTAGTATGTTAGAAGTCCTGGATTACCCATGGTTGGCTGTCAATCTACTATTCTCTTTGGAAAGATGGGCTCACTTAATGCTTGATTACTTTGGAACGCATAATGATCTGCCCAAATTTTTATGTGTTTTTGGAGGCTTCTCATCTCGTGTATTTAATATTGAATTATTTGCTCCCATGATATGGGGCTCCCATATCATTCCCATGATAAACTGTTTCCCATATCATTCCCATGATATGGGTCCATGGCAACTTCATATTGGTGTTAAAATTGCCTGTAGCTTTAGTCAATGTGGACTGCAAGGCTTGTACTCATTTAGTGGAGGTTTAATATTTTTGTGACACTAGAAAAGTTCTTGGCAAAAAAATATTTGCAGAACTAGATTCCCCCATACCTCAGGTTTCTTGTCCTTGCCGGCAGTGACATCTGCTTCAGATACCTTGCTGGAACTTTTTGATGTGGCGACAGATTTATATGCTGCATGTTATCTATCTTGAGGTTATCTTGAGATGATTTCAGGGCTTAGCGTCCCTGTGGCCCGGTCCTCGACCAGGCCTCCTTTTTGTTACACACCCTCCAGAAAGCAGCCCATAGCAGCTGTCTAACTCCCGGGTACCTATTTACTGCTAGGTAACAGGGGCATCAGAGTGAAAGAAACTCTGCCCATTTGTTTCCGCCTCCACCGGAGATCGAACCCGGAACCACAGGACTACGAATCCGAAGCGCTGTCCACTCAGATGTCAGGCTCCTCATGTTGCACATGGAGTCTGCATAGTGGCTTTCAGTAATGTTAGTTCACCATTTTCTATACTGTACTGTATTTCGCTTCCCTTCTGGAGTGATGGATCAGGTGTTGGCTGTGGCAGGAGCATCCTACCAATCACTTTTGTTTTTGCCTGCACTCTGCTTCTGTGGTGCCTGTGATAGCTTGTCCTAGGTAGTGGCTTTCTTGAGTTTTTGGCTTGGATATATAGTTAGTAATTGAAAGGGTTTTTCCTCTCAGCCCTTTTGGAGCATGTTCTGGTGACAGTGTGGCAGGGGGATTGCTGAGAAAATTTCAATGGGCTTGGGCTCAGGATGCTTGTGCATTCTGCTTCATATCTCAGGGCATTTGATGGGCTTGGTTATCTCTTCCTCGTCATGTTCGCCTAGTTCCTTTTCAGCCTTCTATGCTTATCCTGCAGTCATTCGTGGATGTTTGGGTAATGGGGTTATTGCAGTCATTATCTCTGGGGGGGGGGGTCCCTGTTCTTCAAGAAAGGATTCTTCGGTTCCTTGGTTTATTCGCAATCTCTCCTTTCTCAATGAGCACATTTGCCAGGTACGATGGTGTTTAGTCAGTGTTTGCTCGTCTCCCTGAATCGAAGAAATGCTTACTGGCATGTTCTTATTCACCCTCCATCCCAAGTTTGACTAGGGATCAAAGTAGGGAACTTCTGCTACCACTTTTGGGATTTTCCATTTGCTTAAACCTGGCACCCACAATCTTCATCAGATTTAACCTGATGGTTCTACACCATCACCATGTTCACGGCATCTGAATTCTGGCATAGCTCAACGACTTGCTAGTTAAGGCTCCCTGTTTTCAGATAATTCTGACAACAGGGAGCTCTATCTTTACCTATAAATCTGCTCTTTACCTAGTTGGCATTTACCTAGTTCAGGTTCCTTTATTAAGTGATGGATGTCGCTATTGACTCTTTCCTAGTCACTGATGTGGTTGAGACTATTTTGGGAATTCAGAACATCCTACCTCTGTATTCCAACATAACATGAGTTCCAGCAATAGCCAACACCACATAGTTGTAAGAGTGAAACAGTAAAATGAATCCAGACAAAAACCTGAGGCCCCAGAGAAACCAGGCCAGTATGTGACAACATGCGCTGGCAGAGACCCCAGGGTGACCAGCATTGCCACCTAGTGGTAGGTGGGTGTAACAGGATCAGTATGTTTGCATTGTGGTACCAATGGTTGCTTTGTTTCCTACCTGTATTTTATTTTCATCTTGAAAATGCTTAGTGGGATTTCTTTCAGTTTTAAGGTTATTTCTGATCCCCAGCTGCGTTCACCTCTGAGGGGAACCAGATATGGTTCTGGCTCCCAGTAGGTTAGAGTGGGTCTCAGAGACCTGGTGTAATTACCCCAAGGCACGGTGGGACCACTGCTTAGCTGCAGGGAGCCACTCAGGGCTTGCCTCCCAGAAATGGTACAGTACTTAATAGGAAATAAGTGAAATACACTGAAAACTTAATATTCAGTGAATACTTTAACAACTAAACAAATCAATCATTCAATTAATATTTTAAAATCTAAAGAAATTAATGTCACAAACAAAATGAAAATATTAAAACACAATTCTTTATGAGTAAATGAATAGCATGATAAAATTATAAAATAAATACTATATACAAACCATATGCTGATAGGCCTCTGGGTTACTAGGGTCAACTTGGATGGCAGTGGTGATACTGGTACTGCATTGATTCTCTGCATCATCTTCATCACACAAGTCTGTCATGAACAATTCTGCCACTGAGCAATGAGCAGTAGAAAGCTGACGAACTAGGGTTGATATCCTGCCTTCAGGATCTACTGATGAACACGATGGAAACGGGTCACTTTTACACCCCGTGGCCCCAATTACCGACGTCTTTTTATCATCATTAGGAGATTCGCCCTCTTCCGTGCTCGTTTCTGCTTCTTTAATGGAGACATCTGATGAGCTGTTCTTAGAACACTCTTTCTTATTTTCTTTTACAGATTGCTGAAGACCACTGATTACTTTTGTTAAGAGCTCAATACCCTTTTGATAGCATTGGAGAGAGGCTTTATCCTCCAGTAACTGTGCCATCGACATGTATTTTGAATAACCATCTTCAGGTTTTAAAGTAATAGCTCGTCCCAAGCAGTGTTTAGCTCCATCCAGGTTTCCAACTTCAAGGCACAAGCTGGCTGATGTCTCCAGTGCTGACACATTATCTGGATCTCGTTTTAATGCCTCTTGACAAAGTGTCTGAGCTTTTTCATACTGGAAACTGTCTATTTGTTCCTGTGCCTGTTTCAGAAGATCTTCAACTGTTAGCGACTCAATATTTAGTTTTGCAGCATTTTTTTTCCGTAATTTTGCTAATTTTTTCTTTTGGTTATTAATTGTATTTTTACCCATTGCTCCTGCAGAATAAAAGATTTTTTCTGTTAGTCTCTAGGCATTTGTAATCTGGAGGTATTTTGAATTTATGTATATACATACTGTATTTAATATCCTTCAATAAATTAGAAACTAATGATTTAAAAAACCAGAGTTGAATGTAATGAAATGCCATTTTCTGGGCAAGCCCCGGAAATTCCATGGAGCTATTGGGCTAATATGCGAATCATTAGACTGGGGCATTAGTCTATGGAGTTCAGCCTACTGGGGACCACGAGCCAGAACCTGGCCCCTCAGAGAAGCACAGGGAGCAATGGCCCTGGAAAAACCCCCCTGTGGTTGGGGGTTTTCCTTATCTGCCATCGTCCGTGGGTTAGGCACTCAGAAAGGTAGGCATAACAAAATGTACCCCATATGGTAAGAAAATTACAATCAAAAACCGAACAGAGAGGCAGAACTCCCTCCAGTCCCAAGGAAACAAGCAAACATCACACCTTGTACTCGTGCCACTCGTCCGCACAACCCTCCTCTCCCCTTCCCGAGAGGGAAAGGGGGAGCCCCGGACCTCCTGTGCCGGCTACCTAGCACTCTAGTTTGGAAACTAAAATTCAAAACGATGCAAAAAGCTGCTGACTGGAGGAAGGGAAGGTGCAAGGAAGCCTCTGCGGCTCACCCAGAAAATGGTGTTTCATTACATTCAGTGCAGGTTTTCTGTGGGAAAGCCCCTTCGGCTCCCTGGAGCTACCTAACCAAAGATAAGGAAAAGAAGAACTTACCTGGGAGGTGGCTGCTACACTCTCCTCAACATGAAGTCGAGACAATTGACTGCAACCTGTGACCCAAAGCAACACATAAATGCCCTGGGCATTTATGTGGCCGCCTAATATTTGATATCAAATTGTTCGCAATATAAGGGCGCATATTTTAAAACTATTCCCATAATAATAGAGCAATAACTGGAATTTTAACAAATATTTTAATTTTGAAAGCTCATCATCACAAAATAATTTTATATCGTTCCAGTGTTCTAACAAATTTTTGTGTTACATCTTTCATTTTGGTATCAAATTGTTCGCAATCTAAAGGTGCGCATTTTAAAACTAGTCCCATAATAATAGCACAAAAAATAGAATTTTAACAAATATTTTAAAATTTTGACCAAAAAACGTATTTATAATTTTTCAAGTGTTCTGATATCAAGTTTCGTGTTACATCTTTCATTTTGGTATCAAATTGTGTGCACTCTAAAGGCACTCATTTTGAAACTATCCCAAAGTCGATCGAATAATAAATGAATTTAATACAAATATTTTTTTATTGGATGCACATCATGTCCAATGCTTGGACTCGAGAGAAAAAATCGAATGCAAGTTGCGTTTGAAGAATGGTATAGTGTTAAAGTGCCAGAGATGTGGATTCAAAATATAACTTATTTAAAAATATTCCAAGCAAAGCTCAGGAACATAGTATACCATACAAACTGAATAGATAGAATAATAATGACCTAAAATGGATAACAAAGGATCTGAAGAATCTGATACAGCAGGTAGAAAGATAGCTTGGCACAAAAGGATTAAGAATGGGGAAGTCAGTTTAGAACAAGAATTTGTCCAACTGGTTAGAAATGTTAAAAAAGAGATGAGGAAGGGAATAAAAAAAAAAAAAGATGAAGTTTACATAGCAGGGCAAGCAAAGACAAATCCTAAGGTCAGATAACTGATAATGAAGAAGAGATGTGTAGCATTTTTAATAAATATTTTATCTCTATATTTACTAAAGAATAACTGAACATTATGCCTTCAGCCGAACAGGTCTATTTGGGTGGGGAAGAGGACAGGTTGACTAGTTTAGCTGTTACCAGGGAAAATGTTATTAAACAAATAGTGAAACTCAAGCCAAACAAATCTCCAGGGCCGGACGAAGTGTTTGCCACAGTGCTTAAGGAATGCAAAGAGAAGCTTTGTGAGCTCCTCTAGAAGTGCCTAGACAGGAGCATTGTCTACCATATTTAATACATGATTAGTCAGGGAGAGTGCCAAAGTCATGGAAGATGGCTAATGTGGTACCAGTTTTCAAGAAAGGAGATAGATCACTTGCGTTAAACTATCAGCCAATTAGCTAAATGTCTATTGTGGGAAAGTTACTTGAATCGATAATTGCAAATACCATTCGTCTTCATCTTGAAAAACACAAACTAATAAATGATTCACAACATGGTTTTACTAATGGCTGTTCATGTTTAACAAATTTACTATCATTTTATTCTAGCATAGTTGAGGCAGTTGATAGTGGTAAGGTTTGCGATGTTGTGTACCTTGACTTTAGCAAAGCTTTTGACACAGTGCCAGTTAAGTCAGAGTGGGAAAATGTTGTAAGTGGAGTGCATCAAGGATCTGTCCTGGGATCTCTGTTATTCATAATGCAGTATATATAAATGATTTAGATTCAGGTTTGAGCAGCAATATTTTCAAAACTGCCGATGATACAAAAATCGGGAGGGAAATAAACACGGAAAAAGACAATCACTTCAAGACAATCTAAATAGGGTTTTGAAATGGCCAAAAGATTGGCAGATGCAGTTTAATACTGACAAATTTAAGATTTTGAGGCTAGGTAATAATGATGATATAGTTACATGATATGAGCTACATGGTGTTGAGTGTGTGAAGTCGGATTGCAAAAGGGATCTTGGAGTTATGATTAATAAGAATTTAAAACCAAAAAATCAATACATAAATGTTCGTAATAAGGCAAATAGGACACTGGGATTTATTAATCGAAGTGTTACTAATAAGACACCTGGTGTTGTTCTTCAGCTATATCTTGCTCTGGTTAGGCCCCATTTAGATTGTGCAGTTCAGTTTTGGTCGCCGTACTATAGAATGTATATAAATTCACTAGAATGAATCCAACATAGGATGACAAAGTTAATCCTGCAAATTAGAAATCTATCACACAAAGATTAACAAAGCTTAATTTACATTTGCTGGAAAGGCAAAGAATTGGGGGTGACATGATAGAGGTGTACAAGTGGATGAATGAATATAACAAAGGGGATATTAATAGGGTATTAAAAGTATCAACAGAAGAAAGAACAAGAAACAATGGGTATAAATTGGATAAGTTTAGATTTAGGAAAGACATGGGTAAATACTGGTTTATTATTATGAATAACAGAGCCTTGAGGCACTCTACTTACAACATTTTTGCACTCTGACTTAACCATATTTATACTCACTCTTATAATAACTTATAATAACATGGTTGTTTATTAGTGGAACCAACTATTGCGTAACATGGTGGAAGTGGGGTCCCTTGAATATTTCAAGCATGGGTTGGAAATGTATATGAGTGGGATTAGTTGGTTATAAATAGGAGCTGCCTCTTATGGGCCAATAGGCCTTCTGCAGTTACCTTTATTCTTATGTTCTTATATACTTATAAACCCAAGGAATCACCTAACCACCAATGCCGTAAATGCCAAGACATTACCTCAATTTAAAATTTAGCTGGAAAAAATCTTCAGGAACAATGGAAGGACCTTTGACAAAATAACTTCATGTCCGTGTCGAGGCCACTGAAGATGGTAGCCCTCAAATAAATTCAGGTAAAAATACATACACATAAAAAAATCATGATCCACATGAGGAATTCTTGAGATCAAATTGGAACCCATTTATTCTATGTATACAAGATATAGTCAAAATAAGCACCAATTAATCAAACTCAGCCTAACCAAACAGTCATGAGGAGCTTGTGTAAAACTTCTCAATATTCCTTTTCAGCCAATATTAAATATTTGGTGCTCATTTTGACTAAATATTATTATATACATGTTGTGTTGATTTAGGGGCGACGACGATCGTGGGATCGGATGCGCCCATTATATACATGTGTGGTATATAAAAAAAATGAAGATTTACCAGAAAGAAAAAAGATAGTACTGTATTGACTTACAAGTATGACTAAGTTCGCACAGTACAGTACCCCATGCATTACGTAAGTTGCTCCTTATTCAAGTCTCATCTTTGGTCGCACCTCTTTCAATCTGAACCTGATGGCCCACCCCTTTTCAACACATCACTCATTTTCTCAACCTGGATAAGTCGCTCCACTTCTCATTTTTATTCTTTATAAATACTAATCCTTGTATTTATTGGTATTTAAACCATACAGCTATTATAACAAATGAATTTACAAATAACATAAGCGTACATATGGGCCTTGATTTAAAAGTGTTACGAATTATGCAGGTATTCTTTATATAGGGGAAAATTGGGGCGAGCCAGGAGGTTAAACCATACCCGTTACCTGCATAGTTGGGTCTGACTAGTGACTGGATGTGTTAACATACTTAAATATATACAGTGACAACCAACGAACAAAATATTTGTAAATATTAATAACATAACGCATAGAGTTTCACAAAACAGACCGTCTTGGGTAGCACGTGTTGACAACTGCCAGCTGACCGGCCCTGGCGAGTGTTGTGGTCGCTTACACTCGGGTCACCGAGGCCCGGCCTGGCAACCCAGGATTATATGTACTAATAAATAAATAAATAAATAAATAAATGTGTATTCAGGTAAGGTACATACATACAAGAGATTTTACAAAATTGGATAGATTTATAGATAGAACTAGTACATACAATGCCTAAAGCCACTATTACTAATAGTCATCGCCCCTAAATCAACACAAGACGAAGGCATACTCCCATCGCAAGCGGAGAGCAAATGAAGAACTGCAAATTAATGGTGTAACACTTGAATGGGTTGACCACTATCGGTACCTTGGCGTCACTGTCGGCTCTAACAAGGGAAAGAAAGAGGAGCTCAATCAACTCATAGGAACATGCAAAAGTCGACTCAGGGCACTGAAAGCTATGACCTGGAATGGACATGGAGCCTCTATTGCCGTGCTTAAAATGATGTACACAGCCTATGTGCGCTCCGTCATAGACTATGCCGTACCAGTTCTGTGCACCTACTCCCAAAGCGATATAAAAAGGCTTGAAAGCATTCAAAATGAAGCCATGACAATCATTCTTGGAGTTCCAAGAACTGCCAAAACGTCTAATCACTGCCAAACGAAACGTTTGGCAGTCTCCGTGGTGTAGTGGTAAGACACTCGCCTGGCGTTCCGCGAGCGCTGTCATGGGTTCCTATCCTGGCCGGGGAGGATTTACTGGGCGCAATTCCTTAACTGTAGCCTCTGTTTAACGCAACAGTAAAATGTTGTTGTGTTGATTTAGGGGCGACGACGATCATGGGATCGGATGCGCCCCGGCTGCCCGATACCGGGAAATAGCGAAGGGATGGGGTCCCTATAGTCTCTTCAGGCCATAGACCCTACAATCTCCTCAGGCGACAAATTTTACAGTCTCTTCAGGCCATAGACCCTACAATCTCCTCAGGCGACAAATTTTACAGTCTCTTCAGGCCGCGGACATGACGGATGAAGCGGAAGGTATGGCGAAGGATGTCATGACGGACGTCTTCGTCTCTCGCACCTGCCCCGTCAAGGAGAACGGGAACTGTGAGGCGGGGAATATTCAGCCTACGAACGGAACTCTGTAGTCTGACGCGAGCGCTATGAAATCGAGGGCAGTGAAGTAGGTGCTCCACTGTATCCTGGGTCGGACACCACTGGCAATATGGGGAATCTACCAGCCGTAGACGATGGAGATGTGCGGCCAGGCAAGTGTGCCCAATCCGGAGACGAGTGATGGCAGTGTCGAGGAGTCGAGAATGATGACGAGTCCATGGACGCGGGGAGGAATCCTCCCGTAGACCCGCCAAAGAGGAGGACCTGAGTGCTGGCTCCATCATTGCCTCCCAACTCACGAGGCAAGCCGCCCGGAGTTGCGGGAGAATTTCGGAAAGGTCTAGAGGCACATTTGTAGAGTCATGGAGAGCATGCGCCATCCCTGCTGCTGCGTCGGCTACCTCATTGCCTTTAATACCGACATGTGACGGAACCCATTGGAGATAGATGGACCAACCTGGAGTAACAGAGTATGACAGCAGTTCTCCACGGATCTGTGACACAGTATGACGATGGACTCGTGGACGCCGAGATGATATCAGATGTACAACAACAACAACAACAACAACAATTTTATTTAGGTAAGGTACATACATACAATAAATATTTACAAGGATTGTTTGACTTATAGGTATAGCTAGTACATACAATGCCTAAAGCCACTATTACGCAAAGCGTTTCGGGCATGATAAACTTAAATGACAAGCTTAATACTAATTGAGCATAATGAGTAGAATGAAAACAAGAAATGAAAACATAGATGAAAAAGCAGCACAAATACAATTATGTCGACAAACAGCGCTCTTTAAAGAAAAAAAACAGACATTGGTTGACAATAGAAGGGTAAGGTAGGTTACAGGGAATTTATTAGGTATAGCTTCGCTTTTAACTTAAACTGGTTGAGAGAGGTACAGTCTTTAACATGGTTGGGAAGGTCATTCCACATTCTGGGCCCCTTGATTTGTAGAGCATTTCTAGTTTGATTAAGTCGTACTCTAGGAATATCAAAACTGTATTTATTTCTGGTGTGATGCTCATGGGTTCTGATACAACCTTCTATGAAGCTTTTGAGATCAGGATTGGCATTATAGTTTAGCGTTTTATATATGTATAATACACATGAGAGAATGTGCAGTGACTTAATGTCTAACATATTCAGAGATTTAAGTAGGGATACCGAGTGATGTCTGGGGCCAGAATTGGATATTGTCCTAATAGCAGCTTTGTGTTGAGTAATTAGAGGACGTAAGTGATTTTGGGTAGTAGAGCCCCAAGCACAAATACCATAGTTGAGATATGGATAGATAAGGGAGTAATAGAGAGTCACCAGGGCAGGGCGTGGTACATAATATCTGATCTTAGAAAGAATGTCCACAGTTTTTGAAACTTTTTTTGATATGTTTAGAATGTGTCCCTGGAAATTAAGCTTGTGGTCAATGAGAATGCCAAGGAATTTGCCATCTAATTTGTTACAAATTTGGGTATTGTTTATTTTGAGATTTATTTGATTAGAGGATTTATTGCCAACAGAATATAAAAGGTTTTGTCAATGTTAAGGGTAAGTTTGTTGGCAGTTAGCCACAGATGGACTTTATTTAGCTCAGTATTTACTGTGGCATTTAGAGCAAGGGGATCAGGACTGGAGTAAATGAAGGTTGTGTCGTCAGCAAATAGAATTGGTTTGAGGTGTTGGGAGGCATTTGGAAGGTCATTAATGTAGATGAGAAAGAGGAGAGGGCCAAGTATGCTGCCCTGGGGAACACCAATGTTGATGGGTAGGGTGGGAGAAATTGTATTATTCACAGAAACATATTGGAGCCTGTCAGTAAGGTAGGATTTGAGGTATTGTAGGGAGTGTCCTCTGACTCCATAATGATGTAATTTAAGAAGAAGGTTTTGGTGGTTGACAGTGTCAAAAGCTTTACGCAGGTCCACAAACAACCCAACAGAGAACTCATTTTTATCAAGAGCTGTATGAATCGAGTTAAGCATACTAATAAGTGCATCGTTAGTGCTTTTTTTGGGTCTGAAGCCATATTGGCAAGGGCTAAGTATATTGAGTTTGGCTAGATATGAGTAAAGCTGCTTATAGATTAGTTTTTCAAAAATTTTTGACAAGTTTGGCAGGATAGATATAGGTCTGTAGTTGTTAACATCTGTGAGATTACCACATTTGTGGACAGGCGTTACTCTCGCTTTTTTTAGAATATCTGGGAAGGTTTGGAGTTCAAGTGACTTGTTGAAGAGCAAAGCAATAGCAGGGGCTAAAGATCTGGAGGCTTTTTTGTAAATTAAAGTAGGTATCTCCTCAAGGGCACCAGACTTGGTTTTAAGGGAAAGGATTATCTCATTGACGTCAGTGGAATTAATAGGCTTTAGGTACAGAGACTGTGGATAGTTACCTGAAAGATAGTCATTAATGTCTGTACTGGAAGATGGAATATCATTTGCAAGGGATGAACCAATGGAAGAGAAGAACCTATTGAACTCAGTAGCAGAATCAGAGGCTGAAAGCTGACCATCGTTATTAGACAGGAGAGTCGGTTTGTTATTTAAAGACTTCTTTGATCCCAATATTTGAGAAATTGTTCTCCAAGTTTGTTTAATGTTGCTCTTTATTTGGGTAAATTTATCTTCGTAGTACTTAGTTTTGGCTCGTCTAATTATCTTAGACAGCAATAATGAGTAATTCTTTGAGAATTCTTTGGAGACAATTCCTAACCTATACTTCTTCTCAAGGTCATGTTTTTTATTAATAGATTTAAGATTAGATAGATTTAAGATTTAATTTATTAAGATTTAAGATTAATAGATTTAAGATTGTAGATTACTTACAATCCCCTTTGTAAGCCAGGGATTGTTAAGCCTTTTGGTTGTGACTTGTTTTGTAAGCATAGGACAGTGGGTATTATAAAGGCTAAGACCCAGTGTTAAAAGCAGAATTCAGGAGCTGAATGCTAAGCTTGCAATTAGGATAGCCAGAGATCCCCATTACAATGATATTGCTAAGAAAAAACTGAGCTCTCAGATCAGTCTGCTACCTCTAAGAACTTCACCTGCTTGAGCAAGCCCGTGAGCTCCTGCCTGTAGAGAGGTTACCTCCCTGGGAGGATGACTCATGCAAGATTCATCAATGAAATGACAACGAAAAAATCCAACATGATACAACAAAAAATGAGGCACTAGTATCTCGAGAAAATTTATAAAGAAGCCGGTGATGAACTAGATCAAATCTACACTGACGGGTCATCTAATCCTGTCAATGGCAGGACTGGTGCAACATACACGGTAATTAAGGATAATGCTCTCCAACGCAGAAATTAAGAAAAATCGCGCATTGAGAACTATGCCTCTTCATCACAAGCAGAGTTCACTGCCATTGTTATGGCGTTAAGGTTCCTTGAACGGAACACTAATGGTGCAGTGATTTGCACCGATTCAAAAGCAGCACTGCAAAGCCTAAGTAAAAATCGGGCAGAAAATCTTGCAATAGTCGCTGAAATTAAGAGAGCTGTGAGAGTACTTACCAATCAGGGAAGAGTCATCAAGTTTCTGTGGATCCCCTCCCATGTTGGAATATGTGGAAATGAACGAGCAGATGTGCTGGCTGCTGAAGGCGCTGAAGGAGACCATATTGAATACTTCATACCCAAGACTCTACTACAAATTAGAGGTATTGTCAGGCAACATCACCGTGACAAGGTAACTGAGGAAAGGAGGATAGAAGCACAAACTAGTGAATCTGTACGATGGTACAACATGGTTGCAGCTAGGAATCCCAATCATTATGGCCGAAGAGGAGGAGGACGAGGGAGAGAATCAGTAATAGCAAGAATCCGTCTTGGATACAAATATCCATGGAGATATGGAATGGAAACAACAGTTGATCAGCGAAGTTGCAGAATCTGTGGTGAGAGTGACGGACACCGCCTTGACCACTATCTACGTGAATGTGAACACCTGAGAGATATCAGAAATATGTGTAGAATAATAA